TTTCTTCATTACTTTAGTAAGCGACACCCAGAAAATCCAAGCTAACACATGAAACTTGGTAAAAACCGAATCGTTTGAAGAAGAGGTGTCAGTTATGAATGAGGATGGCGCATGGAAAACTCAGCTCCGTGTGGCAGAGCCCCAGCCTCCTGAATTCCAAATAACTGGAATGAGCAAAGAACTGAAGTCATCCCTAGTGGTTATTGCATTTTGTGTGTGTTAATCTGCTTTATGGAACCTTTTTTCCCCCCTCCTCTTTCTGAAACATTACACACGTCCCTTGGGAATATTAAAGATTTTCGAAGTCTTTGGCGGAATCCGTTTAGCTCTAGAATCCGTGGCTCTGGGACACCATCAGATCTCTCAAATGAAAATGAGAAATGTCCAACCCAAAAGCATCTGCAGCGGAACTCAGCAAGGCGCCCCTCACGCTAGTGGAACATTTCTGGGTTCGGGGCTGCTGTAGAAGAACAAGGCCACGTAGCAAACACACCCAGACAGCCGGTTCCCTCAAACGACATCTCAGTCACAGCAGTCCCCTTGGGAGATGGAACACATACTCCCGATACAAAGCTGTTACCCAAACCGGTTTTGCAACTAACTACTTCAGATCTTCAGTGGTGGCAACTTTTTCCTATTGAGGTTCAAAGAGTGAGACATGGGGCCGAGCCTGGTGGACAACCATAGAGCCACACCCAGCGACATCACGTTTCAGTTTTCAAAACACCCACCGCCTATCCTCATGGACACAGAAAGTCTCACCTCCCATTTGACTTTTCTGAAGGTGCCCCCCAAAGGATCGTTCTGAGCTGTAGCAACACATGAGAAAAGGGTCCTGCATGCTTCCCACGACAGTGCAGGCTGCGGGTCACCTGCGTGGGAGTCACGGGACTGGGGAAGGTTGCTAAAATGCAGATTTCTGGGCCCTGCCCTAAACCTATGAGGAAATTAAACCGGATCCATGGATGGAGAACCCAAGGGAGCCTGACAGGGTCTCTGACAAGGGCCTACAAAGGGTACGAGGAGCGGTCGTGGGAGAAGCAGGGGACAGAGTGCAGATGTCCTTCAGGGTAGAAAGGAGTCTCAGCGGGGAGGAGGCTGGGAGTGAGGGGTGTTGGTGGATCCTAAGGGGGCCAGTACCCTGGTGACCCACGTTTGACACAGACTGACACTCTGGGGAAGAGACACTTGGAAGGGCAAGAAATCAGAAGACCATTCGGGTTTATACTAGACATGGAAATAGAGCAACGTATGCATTCAAGGCGCAAGGCAGAAACGGCACAAGCTCATTGGCTGAAGGTTGGGGTGGGGGAGGCTGGGATGACCACAGGGTGGAGGGCAGTGCCATGTGCTCCGACGGGCAAGCCTGGGGGAGAACAGGAGGTAGCAAGGGATCCCTTTGGACACAGTCACTGTGGTGTGTCCCCTTTAAGAGGGAGATAATGCCACCTGCCTGCATGGTTCTGTGATGACTGGAGACAATGCATGCAAAGCACATCACGAAACATACTGGGAGCTCCGTGGATGCTATCCATTTTCTGATTACTATTATTATTATTACAGATAAAATGTCAAAACATTTGTTAGGAACCTGAACATGTGCAAGCCAGTATTCCTTTGTTATTGTTGCCACGATCGTTTTCCTGAAACACCATGTGTTAAAGCTGGTCTGAACGATGCCCACCGCACAAGTGCACCTCAGAGACGTCTTGCATAAAGATACTCTGCGCCTCCCTTCACCCAGTGTGGGATATCTGATACTGCACAGTTGATCCACTTTGTTAACAGGAAACATCCAGAACTGTAAGAATTATGGCCCCAAGGACTTCCTTGTGGAGGCATCTTGAAAATTCTCAATCACATGCTGATGCTTTTTCCTCTTTGATCTCACCTTTGCACCCCTCAAGCCCACGAGCCTTCTGCAAGTTTCCCAAGATTGATCCAACCACAAGTTTACCGCCCCTGAGATTCAAAGATGTTGCAAAGAAAATCAATCTCACCCTGAAAGTCTGCAAGCCAAAGGAGCCCCCACCGGGTGATGAGAGGAGGTAGGTGGAGGCTGGGATATCAAATCCCCTGAGTAGGTTTTAAATGCCTTGCTGTGATCAAGAATATGGCCCTGTTTGCACAGGAGAATTCTGCTGGGCTCTAAGGAATTAAGTGATTCTCAAAATGCTCGCTGGAGAAATCTGAACAGTCACTGGAGAGCAAGAGAAGTGTCCTTTGAATAAACTGTTCCCCAATGTCAGGGGACAGCTCAGCCTCCATAGCCATTCATCATGACTGATTCGGTAGAGTTGACATCAAAAGTCTTGTGCTGCCATAGGAGCAGGAAAACGATGGTTGTGGCTGAAGGGACAAGTATGCTGGGAACAGAAATCCACTAACTCCAAAGCACCTAGGAAATCACATGAATGGGCACAGAGACTGGAGCTCATCCCATCAGCAGCCTCGACAAGGGACAGTCAAGCCCGTCTATGCCAGTGTCACAAGCAGATGGGATAGGGGGCTGAGTCAAAGCCTCTAGAAATCACTGGAGCTGGAGAGCCCAATCTAAAAGTGGGAACAGTCTTAACCAAGGGACCACACCATTATGACCCAGCCAGTTTATGATAACGATTTGATGCAAGACAGGAGTGGCAGCAAGGGGCAGACAGCAGACAGGCTGGGATGGTGCTGGGGCAGCTGCCAGCCCTTCCCTGTCCACCCAGGTAGAACTGGGCTTCCCCCAGCCCCCAGACAGATTGCTTGCATGCCAGCCTCTCTAACGAGGGAGAAAGCAGTCATCAGCTCGAAAAACCTGCAACCTTCCTAGGACCGGTCCAGACATCCGTCGATGGCTGCATTCACTGGTCAATGGAATGTGAGACAACTCCATCATCCTCTCCCCAAAAACTTTCTCCAAAGGGCTTTTAATCCAAGCCCTGCCCTGAAATATTGCCTCTCTGGCGTCATGCTAGACAGAAGCATGTCAGCGCCATTTATAAATTATCTTCTGGCTGTAGCCATTCAAACAATCAATAATCTTGAGTATCCCCTGCCAGGACTACAGCGAGGTAGGAGGTCAGCACCCAGGAGAGTAACAGCAGAAACAAGCCTTTGCATTGCACAGCTGTTACCAAAGGATCAGGACTCACGTCTTCAAAAAGGAAGGTTTGAAAGAGGCAGAGGTTGAGATTTTATTTTTCGTTTTATTTTCTTTTAGAAACAGCAGGAGGTACTCAGTTCGAGAGTTAAATAGAGACATTTGTCTGGTTCTACCCGAGAACTCCCTGCTTGCTGCACATAGCCCAGATTGCTTTCAATAAAGCCATAGGATGAAGATATACAAACTCTATGCGCACACACGCTCTTTCCACTGCCTGCCTGCGTCTCCCCTCCATCCGTGATTCCCTGCTACCTGGGAGTAGAGGCGCTGCTCTCTCAAACAGGTGACGGCCACTGGATTGCTTGTAGCCAAACTTTATCTAAATGTCATGGCAACTGGAGGGGGAGGACACTTCTAGGAAAAAATCCCTCAAGATTGGGGTCTTCCCTGTGCTGCCTTGGCTGTGAATTCTCTGCACTGCTGCCATTATTGGACACCAAATGCCTGCAAAACGCATTCATTTGGTCATTCATCGCGTATTTACTGAACACCTACTTTTGTTCCAGGCCCGTTGCTGGATGCTAAAGAGACAAACCTGACAGATGTCGGCGTTGCTTGCACATGAGAGGGGAGAATAACAAACGAGCATATGAAGAAATGAGCGTGGGAGTACAAAAAAGGGAAAGGGTGATGGAGAGAGACACTGGGAGAGGGCTGCCATGACAGTCAGGAGGGCGTGACACTTGTGGCACTTGGGTGAAAACCTGCAGTGTAGGAGGAGGGCGGCTCCCAGCAGAAGGAGCAGAACAGGCAGTGTCGCCACCAGCACGTGCAGCCACCAAGCCGCTCCCAGCTGCGCAAGGCGAAGGGAGAGAACGGATACTCTGCCTCGTCCGCATGCCTGACAGCGCATGCGCACGTATGTGTGTATTTGTACAGAAGATGTCCCATGTTACTTCCACTGCCAGAGCTGGCCATCTGGCTTTATTTAGCAAGCTCAAGGCAGACACAGCGCATGGAAATAAATGACCAGATGAACATGTCAGGCCAGTTCAGCAGCCCGTGCCGGCAGGTCATGGAAAACCATCCCGCGCTGACATGGAGACTTCCTTTCCCGCCCCCTCTGCGTGCAGCGTCCCCTGGCTCCTCCTCTGCGGCCTTGGGAAACCGTCCATCAATCGCCCACAGAGCGCAAGGCATCTTTCCCTCCGGTCTGCGGCGGACAGAGGTCCCTGGTGTTCCCCAGTGAGCCCGGGCCGGGATCTATGCTGGGTCATTGCGCTCCATTAAGATCGCCACGGTTATTCCAGGCTCCTGCTCCCTGGCCTCCTGACGTGCTGGGCACAGGGGCAACAGCCACTTTGCCTCTTCTGTAATTTGCCGGGGAAGGGGCATAGAGGCTCAAAAGGTAGAAATGCTGCATGAGATAGGTGGCCCAGAGTTACGGAGATGGCAGGTGGGAAACGCGCATCACCCACCGGTGGAAAATGAAGGCTCTTTCCTAAACCCACCAGCCTGCAAGCTCTCCCATCACAGGGGCTCAGACTGATAAATCCTGGAATCCACCAGCACCTAGAACAGGGCTTGGCACATAGCAGATGCTCAATTAATGCGACTGATTCATTTTGTAGCAAGGAAAAAATATATATAGCATACAAATTCAAAGAATGAATCCATCTTGGACTCTCCCCTCTTTACAAGCAAGGGATGCTGAGGAGATTACAAGTAAAACTATGCCCCTCTTGTTGCAAAGTGGAGGTCTCAGATACCAAAATGTCTCTAGATCAGGGGTCCTCAAACTTTTTAAACAAGGGGCCAGTTCACTGTCCCTCAGACCGTTGGAGAGCCGTTGGAGAGTGCGGCGCACATTCCACACATGCGCACTGTGGGCCAGGGACCAGTCGGCTGCTAAGCAGGACAGGCAGCGGCAGCAAAAACACCCGGCAGGTGGGATAAATGTCCTCGGTGGGCCACATGTGGCCCATGAGCCGTAGTTTGAGGACCCCTGCTCTAGATAAAAGAAAGGGAAGGAAAGCAGAGGGAAGCATGTCAGTTTCAGTCCTCCAAGAAGCAGATGTGAAGATAGCATTAGATACTCAAGATATTTATTTGGGGAAATGTCTGTAAAGGATAAAAGGAGAGGGGGCAGGAGCAGAGAACCTTTGGACTGCAAGGCACATCTGATGCCAATGAAAGGGGAGAGAGGGAAAGGCCAGATTGAGTAGGAAGAGCCCTCGCACTCCAGAACAGCTCTGAGAAAGTCTCAGCCAGGTGGGTGGAGAGGCTCTGAGCAGAGGCTGCCCATTAGAGGAGTCCCACACTGAGCAGGAACAGTCCACTCTAGCGTCCTCACTGTGCTTAGCACAGTGAGCACAGCCCGGGGAAAGTGTGCTCCCAGCATGAACATTACGACAGACCCGCAGGTGGGCAGCTCAGGCCTCCATCAACCGTGCTCCTCACAGCGAGGAGATCTGAGCCCACCCGGGGGCTGTGGGATAGGGGGAGGTGGAGGAAGGACAGAAAGATCCTTGGGAGGCTGAAAGCTGGAGCCAGTGAAGTTGGAGGTATAGGAAATGTCTTCAGGGCACAGAGGCAAGACAAGAGGTGGCCGGGAGGCTGTACCTGTCCCTCCTGGCTGGTACCCAATACATCTGCTCTGCCCTTCTTGCTTGAGCACAAAACCTCCCTAAATTCCCTTGCAGCTAGAAGCAGCCACGTGACCCAATTCTGGCCAATGAGAAACAAACATGAAAGCAGAATTCTGCTGAATGTTCCGGATAGAAAGAGGCTGGCACGTGCCTCAGCCCTCCCCTGGGCTCCTCCTCCCCTCCGGGAACACGGCCCCGAAGCCACCAGGGGAACACGTGAGGATGGAAAGCACACGCTAGAGAGAGTAGAGGGCAAAGACAGAGGACACCTGGGAAACTGAGGGTATGATGGAGCTGCCACCCCATGGTAGGAATTCCCAGCCCCAGAATTCTTGTTCTTGTGAAGGATAAACCCGCATGGGTTTAAGCCATGAAGCCAAGCTACCATCCCACGCAGCCGGACACAAATCCTGAATAATCCAGAGGAAACTCAGGTAGAAAGAAGGCTACGTCCCTCATCTTTGTACAAGATACTGGGTAAAATCAACGCTCCTCACCACTGCTGTTGAATATCCCAGCAGTAGGGGCTCCAAGAGGGGAGTGGGCATGACAAGTCACGCTGTCTTACAAATGAACAAGTCTCAAACCTTTCTCTCAAGTATTTTGCAATCTAATTGAGGAAATGAAACAGAGAAATTCTATAAAATCTAAATATTAACCTTTACATATGGTTTAATCACTACCAGCTCGGCATCTCATTCCCCGTGCCACTGTGCTATCCACACGCTCACCACCCACGAAGACTTCGGTACCAGTTGCATCTCTTTCCTCTTTCCACCCAGGGATGTCTTGGCATCCTCCCTGCCTGCCCTCCAGGCAGCCCCTACCACTCAGCTGAGGTTGGGCCTTGAAATCAGACCTATTTGCCTGCCTTGATGTCATCTGCAATCTTAAAGATTCTAGACCACAAAAAAGAGAGTTAAAATATACCTATTCTGTTTCATCTCAACAGACTTAAAACAACTTTCCCCTCGAGAACCCCAGAAAATTATTTACCTCCTGGATACCAGTGAGCATGAAACAGGCACCCAAACCCACCCATCTCCCCCTCCCCAACACCAGAAAGTGATCCAACCCTTCAGTCGGTCTGCCAGCAGAAGTCCTGCTCCCAAAGCTTGGGAAGAGGACTGGCACCGGGTAATTACCCTGACAAAGCAACTGTGCAGTTTGCAGTAATGCCAAAGAGATTTCCAAGCCATGCGTCAGCTGTCAGCATGTCCATCTCAAAATGTCAGCACAGATGCTGGCTTGCCACTATGGCTCCGAGGGTCAGGCATTGGAAATCTGATCAGCCCTCTGTTTCATAAAGACACAGCTCACAGTCCAAACGATTCATTAAGGCCTCTACAGGAAGCAGAAAATTCTGGTCTTTAAAAAGTAAAACCAACCCCTCTCGTCCCCAGGAGACTCGCACAAAGTCAGTCTTCTCATCTAAGCATGAGTTCCATATCCTTTCCTAATTGCCTTAAAGGAAAAAGTTCCCTCTGGACCTTCTCAGTTGTTTTTCTCAATCTGGAGAAAATACATTTGATTAATAATCATGTAATTACATTTCCAATTCAATGACCATTACCATTGGGTGACCTCAGAGTTGCAAAGACGAAGTCCATCAATAACTCTGACAGCTAAGCCTTTGGTAAAAGGGGTGTCACTGGAGACAAGGGGGAGGTTTGAGGAGTACTGCAGTCACCATGTGACAATGATTAGAGTCCAACACTTTTAGAAACTTGAAGAATAAACTTACCTCTATTAAGTAGAACAGATGAAATCAGGGCAATGGAGGCAAGAAAAAGTTGGTTCCTTGGAAAAGGTGCCTAAGGACAGGCAGAAGAGGCAGGCTGCTGCGTTCTGCTCCCTCCACCTCCCCCTACCCCACCTTCCCCCCTTCACCCCACTTCCCTCCCTTCACACCACCTCCCCCCCTCACACCACCTTCCCCCCTTCACACCACCTCCCCTCCCCTGCTGCCACCCCCCAGGTTGCTAAAATACCCATCCCCCAGCAAAGAAAGCCTGCCTCCCAGACCTAGAACTCCCAGCTCCTTCCCTCAGGGTGGAACATGCTGGCCATTCACCGCACCTGCTTGGCTCAGGTTTGCCAACTGCCCGCCCTTTACTAATTTCCTCCACAACCTCAACCTGTGTCACCTGCTTCTCTATAATGAGCTGTCTTATAGGCCACTTGGCAAGCTCCAGTCCCCATTTATTTCATCAAATCCCAATCTGGGTGTTGCTGTGAAGGTATTTTGTAGATGTGATTAAAGCCCATAATAAATTGACTTTCAGTAATAGAGATTATCCTAGATTAGGTGAGCCTGATTCAATCCATTGAAAAGCCTTAAGATCAGAACCAAGGCTTCCCTGATGAAGAAGACATTGCACCTGCAGACTGCACCTGCAGCCTGTGCCTGAGCGGTCCAGCCTGGCCTTCCAGAAGGTCTACACTACAGATTTGGGACTTGCTTAGCCAGACCCCACAGCCACATGAACCAATTCCTTGTAATAATTCTCTTCCTATATGTCCCCTACTGCCTGTTTTTTATCTGGTTGAACTCAGACAGATGCATATCATTCAAATGTTTTCTTTCAATCCCTTCACCTTCTTTTACTAAAATAAATATAATTTACAGACAAAATTTACATCCCTACCATAAGTAGAAAACCAGAATGGAAGGAAACTACAAAGAGAAATGCACTAAAGGCAAACGCAATGCCACGGAATTCCAGTGCGTGCTATTGCCAGCCAAAGGCCCCAAGCACGAGGCCCGTCTTGCTAGTGTTAGAAAGAAAATGAGACAGTTGGTTTGATGCTGGGAGGTGTGCACACCAAGGACAAAGTCTCCGGGAGATGCTGAGCAGAAGGAGTGATTGAGAAATGAGAGGGGAATATGTTTCTCACCATGTGCTCCCTGTTATTTAATGCTATGCCCGTGTGCTCCGTCAGGAATCCTCCCATGTGCAGCCAGAGGTTTCCATCTGGCGCTGGCAGACACAAGACGCCAGGGATGTGAGCAAGTAGCCGGGGAGCTCACGGAAGGGCTTCCTTCCCAGTGATCGCTCAGTGTCTGGAGCAATTGTCTTGACGTAACTGCAAAGAGCTGCTAGTTCCAGAGCAGAATAAACCCACCTGCCCCTTGGTTACTAGGCACCCCGAGAACATAGCCCAGCAGAAGGCTCCTGCCGGCATATCAGGGTGGCAGGTTCATGTCCCTCCCTCAGTAATGGAAAGAGCAGAAGCCACAGTCATCACATCCCTTCCCCAGCAGCTCAAAACCCTCAGGTTGTGGCTTCTGGAGCTCCCTGTACCAAAGAGAAAGGTCCCAGGCCCCAGGAAGTGGTGTTCAGGAGGAAGAGGCCTTGGTGACTCCCCTGCTTCCTAAGGAACCCTGGCTGTGAGGCTCTCTGCTGTACCACTGTTCTTGGACCCCCACTCCATATGTAGTGGCTGGATTCACAATACATCCTTTGGAGCTCTTTTCCCGTCCCCCAGCTGGGTTACTGGGCTAGTTTTTGTTTGATAACAGGCTCCAGGTGCTCGAGAAGCAAAGACTGTGATATATCTGGACAGTACAAAAAGAGGCCAAATTACATAAGGAAGATGGGCTTTAGGATACAGTAAATGGGGTTCAAATCCACATTCTGGCATTTCCCAATGGTGAGAGCTTGGAGCAAATCACATAAACCCTCTGACCCTTAGACTTTGCATCTATGAAATGGACCAAGTAAATGGAACAATGGTAGATGACTGATATTTTATCTTCTTTGGATTAAATGGCCTCAATTTTCTTTGGAAGCAGGTCTCCTCCCACTCTCAGTCCATGGGGTACACCTTGCTCCTTCCCCCAAATACCTGGGATACACACATGACCTTGCTCTGGACAGCAACCTAGCCCACCCTCCCCTGGTCCAGGTATGAGTGTGTGTGGCTGATCACATCCACCGAGAGTGGATGCTGGAGCCTACAGGCAAGAGCATTTGCTTCCTTCCTGGGTTTCTAGGCTCACAGAGTGTAAGCCAGAGCTACACGTGGCCGTCTTTGCCACCTCTTAGGGGGTTTCTGCTGAGCACAAAGTCAATACAAAGGAAGGCAAGACAGCACCCATGAGAGCAAGTCAATCGTATCATTTGAGCACCTGGATCCAGCCAGGCCTGAAGTCATCAAGATCTAACCCAAGGACTTTTTTTCTGTTGCATCATCCAGCAAAACTAGTTACCATCATTTGCATCTTAAACAAGTAACCGCACCTCAGACCCGGGCCACAGGAAGCCCTCGACAAATAGTAGCTGTTTCTTGAGGGGATTAAATGAAATAATGTATGAAAAGTACTTTTCCAGTGGCTCACACAGGGCGAGTGGGTAGGCAATACACGACGGTTGTTACTTCTCAGCGGTAGCCACCTAGAGTACCGATTCATTCATCCCGCAGCCCGACCAGCCTGCAGGCTCAAATGAGCATATTGCTAAAGCCTCACATTTTAGGCTCCAGAGAAGAGAAGTGAATAAACCCCACATCTATGCATCATAAGTGGCAAAGCTCATCGTGGGAGCCACTCAGCTCTGTGTGGTTTGGTGGGCCTCAGCAGAGCTATTCAAGTGGGAAAATGAGGGAAAATCATTTTGTTACTAGTTAAGTCAGGGCAAGCTCTGAAAAGTAAACCATTAGGTTGCTGCAGAAGCTGAATCTTTTCAGAAGGAAAAAAAAATAAAATTAAAAGGTCAAGGGAAAGAAATTCATCATTTTTTCTAAAAATCCAGATTTAGATGCAGCTAAGAGTTCTGCATGACACACAACCCCACTACATCTTGGTGACAAGAAATATTTAATAATTACTTTTTTAAAAAGGTTGATGTACTTAGCCATTTTTCCAAAAATACCAATGTGGGGCTGGGGAGAGGAGGGGGGAGGGAACAGATGGAAAGTGACAAAATGCGTCAATCGCTCCCATCATTTTGCAACACTGGCAGTCAGAAGCAGAAGTCAGTCAGCAAGTGATCACGCTGCCATCTTTGGATCCAGCTGCCATTGGCTCACTTCACGTGTACCTGCTGCAGACAACTCCATCTTCCAAGAAGCAAAAACAAACAAAAATCTGATAAGAGAAAACACTAAAGGATGGACATTGCTGCTAACCTCTTTTTTTCTTTTCTAATTTTTTAATTGACACATAATTGTGAATATTTATGGGGTACATAATGATGTCGTGATACATATGTACAGTGATCAGATCAGGGTAACTAGCATATCCATCATCTCAAACATTTATCATTTCTTTATGTTGCGAACATTCAATGTCCTCCTTCTAGCTATTTGAAGCTATATTATTGCTAACTATAGTCACTCCACCGTGCTATAGAACACTAGAACATATTCCTCCTACCTAGCTGTAATTTTGTATCCTTTAACAAATCTCTTCCTATCCTCCACTTCCCTATATACTTCCCAGCCTCTGGTATCCTCTGTTCTACTTTTTACCTCTATGAGATCAACTCTTTTTTAGCTTCCACATATGAGTAAGAACATGCAGTGTTTAACTTCCTATTCCTGGCTTATTTCACTTAACATAATGTCCTCCAGTTCCATCCATGTTGCCACAGATGACAGGATTTCATTCTTTTTTATGGCTGAATAGTGTCCCATTGCATATATACACCACATTTTCTTTATCTATTCATCTGTTGTTGGAAACCTAGTTTGATTCCCTATCTTGGCTATTGCAAATAGTGTTGCAATAAACATAGGGGTCCAGATGTCTCTTGAGTATAATTTTTGCTGGTAAACTCTTTTAAAAATGATCTTTTTATAACTTTTGAATTCTTCCAAGGTCTATGTCACAGGCAGGAAATTTTTGACACTAGTTTTATCTTGTTGGGGTAAAGGCAAGAGGGAGGTAAGAAATTAACACATTGAGTAGCTACCATATATACCCTACTTTAAGCCCCGCCCCTACGCCTCAGATAGGTAAATTTTATAGTAACACCAATTTACAGATCTTGAGTTCAAAATGGTAAAGCAGCTTACTTAAGGTCATGCTGGAAATGATGAGGACAGGTCTCTCAGCTCTTTCCAATATTCCACGCTCTATACCACTCTCCATCAATGAATGGCTCACTTCTTTCCCCCTCTCCCAATTCTTAGTTTTATCTATAGTAACTAGAGTTCACTAAGAATATGGACCATATCTCTCTTGTTCAAAACAATATTTGAGGAAGGACACAGGAAAAAAGGAAGAAAAGCTGGTCCAGCCCTAGTCCTCCATGCTTTGGCACCATGGGGGCCCTAAGGCTAATAAATGAGCTTAACCTGGATAAATATTGTGATAATTGTTACGGGGTTGGCTTTCCTTCTGTTTTATGTTTTCAACCCTTTGAAGTCCATGAAGAGTCTTTGCAGATGAGAACTTTCCAACCAAACAAAATCTAAATTATCAGGAGAATGACCTTGAAGTAACAATAATAATTGCTAACATTTTTTTACCTATGTCAAAAAATGACCTACTGTCTGCCTGGCACTCATCTAATCATTTCATGTAAATTAACTCAGAGAATCACTACAGCAATGCTATGAGGTAGGTACTATTATCACCTCCACTTCGCATGTGAGCACCACGACTCAGAGAGCTGGAGTCGAGTGGCCAGGATCAGGCAGCTGGTACATGGCACAAACAAAGCAGCTGGCTCTGGAGCCCATGCTCGAGTCCCCCACGTGAGCCCACAGGAGCTAAGCGGTCCCATAAACAATGCTTATCCTAGACTTCAGCCACGTCTGGAGGAAAGGGCTTTGTCCGAAGAAATGAGAGTCTAGAAAAGAAGTGGAGTTGCCTATGCCCTGTCCACACATGACAGGCCAGTGCCAGGCACCTGCAGCTGCCCATCACGCCATCTTCCAGCCCAGCCCCCAATGACTCATGTGAGCCTTGTCAAGAAAGGGTGAAAACGGCAGACTCACGTGCTCCAGGAGGCAGCCCCCGATGCAGACATCATCCTCTGCCTCATGGGTGTTGGCCAACCGGGCACAGACGGCAGATGACAGGAGCAGCCGCAGAACTGGAGGCAGAGCTGCCACTGTCGGGAATGCCAGGGCTGGAGCGGCAGAGACAGCAGATGGCTTGGGTGACCCAGAGGAAAGCAGACACGTTCACCAGTCTTTGGAGCAGGGCTGGCATTGCCATAGAACGCATGAGTATGAGCCAGAGAAATTCTTATTTTTCCACTATCACCAAGACCCAGGCTTGTGTCATCTGGGAAGTACAGTGACCTCTATCCAGAAAAAGATAATAAATCAAAATCAGACAGATCCATACATACATGTACACACACGTGGATTTGCACATGTATAGACACGTGTATGTACTCACATCTCCATTGTTTGTGAATTCAAGTGTGTACATTTTCTTCTCTGCTGAGTCACTAAGTCATTTGAAAAAGTAGAAAAGAGACTCTTAACCCTTGTAGTGATTTCTTCAGTTTACCTGAAGGGAGAACTTCTTAGAAGAGTCCTTCAGGAGAGAAGCACTTGGAGCAAACCTCTGGGACTCATATAATGCATAGTGCCTGTTTTCATGAGCTCCCAGCAGCAGCGACCCCCCATTCCTACAGCCTTCTGCCTCCATGCTGTTCCTTGAGTTCGCAGGAGTGGCCGATTCACCACCCCAACCCATTTGTAAACCCCTTTGGCTGGGGGCCCAATCGCCTACCTATTTCCTTCCCATCCCAGAGCCCAGCAAATAGCAATGAACCCAGCAATCCTCCCTTGCACATTTGGAAGTTGGGAAATGGAAAGATAAATCTGTCCAGGTCGCCTCCCATGCCCCTGCCTGTTTCTCCCATGGGAGCCACCGTATCCAATTCCAGAATGATCTGCAGAGATAGAGTGAGCTGAAAACTGAACCAAGATCAAGGAATCGGTGTTGAAAGACACCATGGATGTCTCTTGTTTCATCATTCATTCAGCAAATGTTAACTGAGCACTTACAGAATGCCAAGCAATTCTTAAACTCCGGTGGAAGGTCAAGGGATGAGGCTGGCTGGCTTCCTCACTGGTCAAGCAGTTCTCTTTCTATGCAGTTCTCAATTGTTACAAATTTCATTCGCATGTTGAACCAAAATCTTTCTCCCCATAACTTATCTCCTTTGATTTGTATGTTAGTTTAAACCACATTGTCATTGAACTATGAGGATTTAAATGTAAAAACAAAACCTAAAAGGTATGGGGGATAAAAAGATAGGTGAACATATAATCTTAGGTCAGGAGAGATGTTTGTAGGTATGGCACCAAGGAAAAATTAAATGAAATTTTGATGTATTTGCCAACATAAAATCTGAAATATATATGTACATTAAATTAAAGGCAAGAAGTAAACTGAAAAGAAATATTTGCAACCTAGATAGGAAAGGAATAGCCAGTAGTTTTAATATTCACATATAAATCTGGCAAGATATTTTAATACATTTAAAATATTAATCATAATGCCCAGTACTGGGAAAAATTGGGGGAAATGGGGGTACTCTACACATTGGTGGTGTATTGTAGGGAACAATTTCGCCAAACACATCAAAAACAAACAAAAATGTTCATAACCCTTTGTCTGTTTGTTTATTTATTCATTTGTTTGAAGAGACAGGATCTGACTCTATCACCCAAGCTGCAGTGCAGTGGCACTATCATAGCTCACTGCAACCTCAAACTCCTAGCCTCAAGTGATCCTCCTACCTCAGCCTCTCAAAGTGCTAGGACTACAAGTGTGAGCCACTGTGCCTGGCTAAAAATGTTCATAACCCTTTGAATCCTATAACTTCTACTTTCAATATTTTATTAAGGAAATAATAGAGGATATGCACAAAAATTCATTTCTAAGGCTGTTCATCCTAGGATTCATTATATTAGAGAAAAAAAAATGTACAAAATAGAATTTTGTAAATTGTGGTATATCTCTAGAATATTTTGCAACACTTAAAAATGGTTTGCAGCAAAATATTTAATGACTTTGAAAATTATTTATAATATTTATGTATATTAAAAAGCCAAGTTGCAAAATACATTCTTTCAAAAATAGGACTATATTGTATATACCTTGTATATCTGCCTAGAACAAAATAGAAAGTTTAGCTGAATGGATTAATAGATAATTGTCAGAGATGGGATTAAGTAATCCTCCCACATTTTGTTTTGTAAACTAAGATTACATTCAGTGGTTTAAGTAGCTTTACTACACAATTAGCCCACATCGAGTCTTTCATAAGAAATAAAGCTCAGAGACATTTTTTCTCCTAGTCTTTCATAGTTGACGTTTTGAACCTAAATGCCAGCTTTCACATTTATCCCTACAGAATGCCATCATTTTCCAGCCTGCCAGGGTCTTTTGACTTCTGTTCCTGTCATTGGATGCCTTAGCTTCCCAGCTCTGTACCTTCGAGAAATTTAATCACGCACCTTCTCTTCCTTCCTCCACCCGCTGTGGGTGCAGAATTGGTGGCCCAGCGGGCGCCTCCCCTGTCTCAGTCCTGCATGGGCAGAGGCCCCGGAAGGGTGAGAGGCAGAGCAGTTTACAGCGTCAAACACAGCAACGACAGGGAGCAGAATTGCGAAGAAGGGGAAACCATACGGAAACAGAGAGATTACATGGAGGAGACACAGAAAAACATTCTGCCTCCAATCTGATTACGCAGCCAAAGAAATAAAACCTCTGGGGCCAGCTCTCTGGCTGCCTGCCTCGTGCACAGAGCCGGGCGCTGTGGCCGGCCCACCGGGCATCAGTCACTTAAATGGCAACGATATCTGACAGACAGAGCACCGAGCCGCGGCCCCGTGCGGCCCTAATGTGGTTAGAGTTGGAGAAATGATGCGTCAGAGAATGGGCTAAAGCGGTTAGTGTTCCCTGGATGCAGCAGGGGCAGGTTCTGCCGGCCTGAGCAAAGCACCTCTGTTGTGTTTATCCCGAAAGCCCCTGAGCTGGCTCCATGCTGGTGTCCTCACCACTCATCTCAGAACCACAGCCAGTCCCAGGGCTCACAGCCATGCCGCCTCCTCACAGCTCTTTCTTCTCCCTCTGTTACCTTCCAGAACTCTTCCGGGCCACTCGCCTCCCTCATCCCTCAGAGCCAATTTGATCCTGAGCCAAGATGCAAAGTGCTCCTGCCTGCTGCCCCGCCCTCATCTGCGGCCACCAACTGCTTCCTGCTCCCAGGCATGTCCTGGACCTTCCTGTCCTGCAGGGTCTGGCTAAGGCCACCTTCTCCTGAAGTCTTCTCAGGCTTTTAGCCAGAGTTAGGACCTCGCTCTAGTGCTCACAGGGCACTTTCTCTTATTTCTCTGTAGCATTGCTCAGGTGTGGGGCGCAAGGGAGGGTGCAGAGGGCCTTAAAAAGGCGGTTGCAGCTCATACAGGGAGGAACCACCACCACCTCCTGCCCTTCTATGCTTTGCACAGAGCGTAAAGCCAAGCACATGGGCTCGCTGAGCATTGGCTGGAGTTTTCCATGTTCCAATTCCAAGGGTTTCACCATCCTTCCCGACAACCATTATTACATAAATATCTACCTACTTAATATTCTGAAGTCTGAGGTTAGCAAAAGCCCCCTACTTTCAAAAGAAACTCATTATAATCATAACTACTATGATTGTTATAAATTGCCTTCATTTACCACGCAGCTGCTGTGAACCAGGCCCTATTCGATGTGCTCTGAGTATATCGTTTCTAATTTTCACAATAATACCTCAAGGAAAGTCCTAAATCCTCACTAGAAACGGGGAAATCCGGGCACAGAAAAGTTCAGTGACATGCCAGAAATCTAGTTACTCAAAATGCATGAAGTCAGGATTTAACTTCAGATCTGCCTCGGTCCCCATATTCTCTCCACTGTTCAGTGTTTCCTGGCCAACTTAAAGATGCTCCCTGCAGGTGATGAATGCTGAGCTGTACTTAGGTGTTTGTGTCGGAGGGAGCGCAGTGTCATGGTAAGAAAGGGGTTCTATGGCCAGGCCAGCTGGGGTTACACCCTGACTCTGCGGCTTACAGCTTTGCACTCTCGTCCAAGGCTCTCGTTTCCTTCAAGGCAGTTTCCCATCTCTGACACAGCAGGGTGGCTCATTGAAATCCCAGCTCTTTCAGTCCCTTGTGCCCAGCACATCATGGCCACGAGCTCGTTAAACCCTCAGAACAGCCTAAAAAGAAAGGCACAATCAGTTTTGCAGGGAGGGAGGCTGCTGAGACGAAGGGCAGGAAAGTGTTTTGAAACTGCTGCAATTTCAAAGATTCCCCCAGAAATTTAAAAAAAAAAAATCCAAAGTACCTTGTAGGTAATTTGGAAGTCATTTTATGGTATATAGAGTGCTTTTGACACGCACATTTTCAGAGACACAGGTTTACCAACTGTCCTGCCATCCATTGCTAGATGAGAAAGGCCGTTCAGGGCACAGCAATGCTAAAAAGGAGCCCTGTGTTCTCAGTAGCTCATTTAAAACCCTTCCTTCAACAGGTCCTCAATGTCAATAAATAAAAGTCCAGTGCCTGAGCCTGCCCTATATGAATCCTATCGAGCTAAGTCCCACCCACTCCCCACACCAATCTTCCATTTCTGTATATTGCAAGCTTCTACTTATCCTTCAATACCCCACTCTAATGTTCCCTGCTCAGTAGAGCTTTCACTGATCTCTCTGGAGAGAGGTCATTGTCCTACTAATCCCTGTTGCCATGGCACTTTTGTACACTTCTCTATCGAAGCACCTCTTACGTTCTATGCTAGTTAAAGTTTTTTGTATCTGCCTTTACTGTTGGGCATGGATAGTGAGCTGGTCAAGGGACAGGACCACATCCTGGTCAACTTTTAACTTTATATCTCTAGTACCTGGTACACAAGAAGTACCAAGTAAATATTTTTGAGTATACATATAAATTAATGAATAAATTTCAATGTTAGTAAAACAATCACCCCAGTAAAGCAGAATTTTAACAAATAGTAGCTCCTTCATCATCATCATCATCAAGATCATTAAAATCCCAGCAATACAGCTTGTGTAACTGAGAAAACATAAAAGGGAAAAAGAGATTGAAAAACACAGTATGTATCCCAAGATAAGATTTTCAAATATGCAGGTCCTATTTCTGAGAAGACCCTCGAGGGAGGATTTTCTTGCACTTTTCTCGTATATAGTCAATGGCATTCAGGAGGCTTTTTGGAGACCTGAGATATCACCACCTTCCTTATGCTCATTACAAAGCACATGGGCCATTCGAAGGTTGACTTCTGCTCCTGGGGGACACACTGAAGCCCAAGTTCAGGGGAAAGCAACACAGTGGGCTTCTTATAAATACGAGCAGTGCAATGAGTATTTATGGTGTGAGGGGGTCTCCCCTGGTGCCAGCTTGGAAGTCAAGTGTCCACATGCCCTGGTTCAACCGTCTCAGTTATGAAGGAACAGGCCACGTTGCAAGGAATAAAAGCTTCAGTCAGATGACCCGGGTTTAAATCCTGGCTCAGACAGCTACCAGCTGGGTGACTTTGGGCAAGTCACTTGCTTCTTTAGGTAACAATTTCATCATCTGTAAAATAAGGGTAATTTCCCCTGCCTGGCTGTGGGGATGTCACAAAATCAGTACATGAGAAAATATAGTAGCCTCCCCCTGTCCACACTTCCACTTTCTGCAGTTTCATTTACCCAAGGTCAACCGTGGTCTGAAATAGGTTGAGTACAGCACCTCTTTCTCTCGCAATAAGATATTGCGAGAGAAAGAGATCACATTCGCATAACTTTTTATAGCATATTGTTATAATCTTTCTATTTTATTATTAATTATTGTTGCCAATCTCTTACTGTGCTTAATTTATAAATTAAACTTCATCATAGGTATGTATGTATAGGAAAAATACACAGTATATACAGGGTTTGGTGCTATCTACAGTTTCAGGCATCCACTGAGGGTCTTGGAACATACCCCCTTCAGGTAAGGGGGTATACGTGACTACTGTAGGTCATACAGGCCTGACACGGTGGTCGATGGACATCTGTAGGGTATGAACCTGGTTCTGTGGCTTCAGTAGACTTCCTTCCCGAGCTTCAGCCTTGGGACCTGGAGTTTGTATCCATCCCCCCAGCATCCAAAACAAGAGGGTGAGGGAAGAGCGGACAGCAGAGCTGAAGGGTGATCTCTATGGCAGGAGAGGTGCCTTGTGCAATCGGACTAGAGGCAGAGCTGAGGGAAAGCATCGTGGAAAACCATCTCACATACACGTACAAGATGCTGAGTATGACGCCGGGGGCAAATTAAGAGAAAGATTCAGTTTATTTTGGCTATATAAAATTTGACAAAGTACTTTCCTTTATGGTAACCACTTACCATTTGTGCCCAATTTTATGCCCATGCACATTATTAAATATCTGTTGGCTTCACTTGGCTATATGTCACTGTGTCACTATGTTACTATTCATAATGTGTTGCTTGTTCATTAAAGCCAGACTATTCCTATTTTTAAAAATTAAAAGGTGTGTTGGCTCTTGTTCTTGCTGATATTCGTTAAGGAAAGAACAACTTTAAAAAAATATATGGATACGCCCATTAGGATGGCTATTAACAAAACAAAAAAAAATGGAAATTAACAAATGTAGGCAAGGATATGGAGAAATTAGGATCCTGGAGGTTTGCTGGCAGAAATGTAAAATGGTGCAGCTTCAGTAGAAAATAATATAGTGGCATCTCAAAAAATTAAACATACAAATAGGATATAATCCAGCAATTCTACTACTGGATACGTTACCAAGAGTATTAAAAGTAGTGACTGAAACAGATGCTTGTACACCAGTGTTCACAGTGTCATTATTCACGAGAGCCAAAAGGTGAAAACAACCTGTCCTGTCTATCAAAACATAGATGGAAATAAAATGTGATATATATGGACAATGGAATATTATTCAGCTTTAAAATGAAGCAAATTCTAATATATGCTACCATATGGATGAGCCTTGAAGATATTATGCTAATGAAATAAGCCAGCCACAAAAGGACAAATATTGCATAATTCTACTTATATATGAGGTACCTAGAATAGTCAAATTCATAGAGACAGAAAGGAGAACAGTGGTAGCCAGGGACTATTGGAGGAGTTTTTGCTTAATGAGTGCAGAATTTCTGTTTGGAACAATGAAAAAGTTCTCGATTGAAGTGATGGTGGCATGACATTGTGAGTGTATAATAATACAGTACCACTGAATGACTCACTTAAAAGTTGTGGAAATGGAAATATGTGTAGTTTACCAGAATAAAAACAATACTTAAAATACATTAAAATATATATAAATACTTAAATACATTAAAACACATTTCAGCGGTGACGTGGTGATTGGCATAGTTCTCGATTTCCCCTTAATTGTTCCAATATAATAGCTGGCAAGCCCGCAATTGGGAAAACTGCCCAAGCTGGCCAACTTCAGTTCCTTTCTGGAGATCTGCATTTGGAAGGATCTTGAAGGGACACAATTCAATTCCTCCTTGGGAGTGACGAAAACCCTGCCAACGGGGCTGGCAAAACATGAAATTAGGCCATACTTCTGAGCCCGGGGCTCCTGGGCAGGCTCTGAACTGCAAAAACCCTGCCCTCCTATCCTGTCCTGAGCTTCCATATCTGGTCCCCAAAGGGACCGGCTGGGGCTCCTCAGGATGGTGGTAGGTAACCAGAGCTAAGTCAACCAACTGGTGTTATGGACTTAATATTATTAGTAGCTTAACAGGCTGACTCTCCCAGAAAACATATTTGCATTCTCACTGGGTATTCTGGACACAATAGTTTAAATCAAAGGAGAAATACACATCTACTCTCGACAAATATTTGCTGCTTATGGAACACATAGCTATAGAATAGTCTCCCTTTCAAGGATATGCAGGTCACATGCTGTAGGTAGCTGCGGTTTAGGTCTACGTTCACCTGCCCCAGGGAAAAGAACAGAATGCTGGGTGGCCACAGAGAACCAAGGAACCTCTCTGAAACTTGGTCCCTTGCTTGTGAAGGGGTCTCTTGGGCTTTCTGAGCATTGGTCCCCTCACTTACAAGGGAGACCTTTGAGCTGCATTCTCTCTCTCCCCTTCCAGGCCTCTTCAATTCTAAATAGCAATTGAAATTCACCAGCTCGGCTCCAGCTACAACAGCCCCTCAGCTTACCTACCTGAACCACATTCCAAACAGAAGGATCAAGAGGTAAATAACTCTGCCTTCCCACCCTGTTTATCCCCCAGTTACCTGTTCAAGGACGAGGCGTCTGCAGCTTTCCTCCCCCTTGGTGTTTTGTGATTATTGAATTACCCCTCACACTCCCAGCTAAATTCCCTAACTCAGAACTCAACCTTTGAAACAAATGAAAATTCATTCTCAAATGAGCTGGGGCAGGGCCCAAGGGGCACCTGGCCTTTGCTGGCTGAAAGCAGGCAGGAAGGATGAACATCCCCAAATGGGTCTTGATCCTAGGGATGAGGGGTTCCCTGCTTATCATCCTTGAAGGAGGCGCCATAGCAACCTGACCCTCCTTTCCCAGCCCTCTCGGGTAGCTTAGGCTGTGCCAGGCACCCGACAAGCAATTCTAGCACAAAGGGGGCAGGTTCTCTGGTGGAAGCATGGAAGAGAGGAGTGAAGGGGAACCCTGGGATCAGGGCAGGACCTCCACTGCCCCCCTGGCTGGCTAAATAATCCCACCAAGAGCATGAGAGCAGCTGCCCCCTCTTAAGCACTCACAACAGGTCAAGTTTGTGCTCTATGGTTTATGGGCACTATTTCATTTAATTCTCAAGTGAAGCAGAAAACTATTATCTTCTCTTTATAAATGATGGAACTGAGAACACAAGGAGCTCGGCTGACCGTGCAAGAAAATAAATGTATAGCTCCCCTCACTTCCAAATAAGAGGCTGAAAACAATATTTTTCAGAAGCTCAAATGGAATGCCTTTCGCCTGCTAGTCTATGAAAAGTTCCTCATTTTCCCATGTCGTTTCTCTGCAGTTCCCAACCTAGGATGGCACTGGCCCCTGCCTCTGCCCTTCTTGGTACAAATGTGACCCACTCGGTGCCCCTCTGGCGTGGGAGTGCCTTGGAGTGCCCTGTCCACCGTGGGTCCCAACTGAGCTGAGCCCAGCGCTGGAGCCAGACACCCATGAAGCCATATGGGACGACACAAGAGGAACCACAGAACACAGATGTTTTGCAAGGGGCTCCTTGCAAGACATGCTGACATTGAGAAGACAGTAGACCCTGTCCTCTTCCTCCAGGCCAGAGGGCCACCAGGAATGACCCTTGCCTACTGTCTATAACACCAAGGCCAGACCTTGTATCATATAAACCCGATGTATTTTCTTAGTCTACGGAGCCATTTGCCTTGAAAATATCCAACAGCTGTGCATTCCACGGGCAACCGTACATTAATCATGTGTCATAGGGGAAAGTGCCATCGTCGCTTCCAAATCTGCTAATGCACAGACGGGCACCCAGCTTCTGAGCTGCTGGGGAATAGAGACAGGTCTCCAAATTCCAGCTGGCCCCATTCTGCTCGCTGTAAAGCCTCAGACATCTGGCTGGGAAGATTGGCAAATGCACTGTCCCTTGGCTGTGGCCTGCGTGATTACATAAGGGTTTAAGCACCATTTGACAAAGCCATGCTCACACTCAACAGCTCTGCAATGAGCTGAGGGTGCCCACCCAGCTCACCCCTCTGCCTCCTCTTTTCCCTCTCATTCTCTCTCTCTCTCTCTGTCTCTAACGACTCAGGACAGTGTATGTTGACAAACATTAGAATGAAAATATTAATTTTTTCAAAACCAACAGTTACAATGTGCTGAAGACCTATCATGTGCCGGGGACTTTGCAAGCACTGGTCCTAAGCCTTATGGACTCCCTGCTGGCTGAGCAAGCCTTATTATTTCCATTTGCAAATGAAGAAACCAAAGCAATAGCAAGTAAGTGACTTTCCCAAGTCCAGCAGCTGGGAAGAGGCAGAGTCAGGATTCAAACCCTGATCTGGTTGATTCTCTCATTATATTTTCTTTTCTGTCCCATAATGCTGTGAGGTCCTCCCATTGGACCAGGCTCTGGCCTGGGTCGGCATCCTTAAGCCCGGAAATGAAAAATGACTCACCAGACAGGGCCAGGCCAACTCAGGGGCCAGCAGGGGGAGGGAGGTGGGAAGGAGGGTGGCAGGGCGGGAGAGACCCATGAGGGAGGTTATGCAGAAGGAAACTGTTTGTTGCGAAACGTTTAATTATTGCACTTGGGGGTAATTTATTATCAGGGAAATTAAGTGATTCCATTAGCCTCCTGTCGCTTTCCAAAATAAATCTGTCAGAGTGGGGCGAGGGGGGAAAAAGGAGATGAGAGCTTCTCTGTTTTAATTTGTTTTCCTGCAGATTGCCAACTGGAAGTGCGGGCTCCATTTATCCAGAGGAAGGGAGCTGGCGACTGTCCTGGGTGAGCCTCTGCTACACTCGGCTCCTCTGTAGCCACATTTCCATATCAGAACAACAAACCAGCCCAGCTCGGGAAATGGGGCCAGTCCCCAGTCAACACAGAAAGAGACCAAAGTCCTGGTGACAGGAGCTGGCTCTGTCAGCCACCAACCGACTCTGGCACCTTGGGCAGCTCGGTCTCCAGCTCACAAATGGGGTTCTGGAATAGCCATCCCCCTTTGCCCTGAACCTCCCGTAACCAGCGGATTCAAGCGTCCAATACCACGGGCCGCAGGTGTACCTTAGCACACGCTGGGCTTGCAATGAAAGCTCCGTCAACAGTGCCCTGCTTCCCGCCCCACTGCCAGGTCCTCTGCTATCTCTACCTAACAGCTGTGGCTCTCGGGGAGCAAATTCCAGAGCCAGAACAGGAATCTGGGTCCGAGTCCTCAGTAGCCACACTAAGCCACCGCCCTGCACTATCTCCTTCCGTGTGTGCCCGGGGACCACCCTACACACATTTCAATCGGCCACATCACAGCAACATGAAACCCTGCCTCCCTGGCCTGAAAACAATCGAAAACAAGGTGCTATTGTTTTATTCTTTATATCTGATCCAGCCAGAGCCTAAATAAATGTAAAAGCACTTTATTAATTTTTCTAGCCCCAGTGCGTGGCATTCATGGGGCACTCAATATAAATTTGTTGGATTAATTAATCATCCTGTAATACGAAATTTCTCACTAGCTGAATGGATAACCAAGGGAGAAGGGACTGTGACTTTTTCATGGAAAATCTAACCATCTAGAAAGGAAAGAGCTAAGAACAGTCCGGTAATTCTAGTGGGGAGATGCCAAATTATGCTTCTCTGCCCAAGAGCTCTGGTTCCCACAGCAACTCGGCTGTGGCTCCACAGAGATGAATGCCACCAACAGATAAGGGTGCCAGAGGCCTTGGGTCTCTGGAATCTCCCTCCCCCAGATGCCCAGCCCTGGCCACGTCTGCGGGGAGCTGCAATCTTTCTCTTGGCACAGTTTCCTGGGCATTTCCTCATCTCCAGCATGATAACAGAGTGACATCGCTCAGCCCATAGATGGAGGCAGGGACTACAGAGTACCAAGGTCTGTGTTTTAGCCGCTGGCGGGTCCAGATCTTTGGGAGGATTCAGCACCCATCAGGGATCAGGGCCCTTGAAGGTCTGAGCAGGAACCAAGCTCAATGCCAATTGGGTCCCCCACTTGGGGACCCAATTCTGTCATCTCAGAGGCACCAAGACATGTGGCTGGCATTATCAAAGTAATATCCCAGCTCCCAAGTCACTTCAGGTATCCTGAGAGTGAGCCTTCTGCACTGTGGACACCATGTCTGCCTTCACCCCCAGCCCATGACGGGTGTTTGTTCAACAGATCCACAGCTGGAAGAAACATAGCCTGGGTGGTTTTCCAAGTCAATAAACAGCTTTGGTTACCACCAACCACTCAAACTGGCTGATGATGTGCCTGCCAGGGGAGCCAATGAACACAGGCTGGGAGGGAGATCAGGTGTCTAACTCAGGTCCTGCCCATCCTGGGCCCCACTCTCCTGGCAAGGGACGAGAAGGCAGAGTGGGGGAGCCCTCCCTATCTCTTGAACAATAGCTGCCTGGGTCTCCTATCCATGAACTAGATAGATAATACCAAGAGAGCTCCTCAAATCAATGTGTCTCAAACTTTAATATGCACACAAATCATCTGGAGATCTTGTCAAAATGCATATTTTGAGATAGCAGGACTAGGGAGAAGAAATATTCTTCATTTCCAACAAGCTCTCAGGCAATACCAGTGCTGCTGTCTGCAGGCCATGCTTTGAGTAGCAATGCCCTAAATTCTCTGAGCCTAAGTTTCAAATGCAAAATGAGCTGCCTCACCAAGTTGCTGAAGATTTGACACAATAACTTACATAAACACCCAGCAAAATGTCTGGCACATAATGGGGCATTTTTTGGTTACATGGATGGCTTTTGTTATGCTTCAGTTGGGGATATAAGTGTGCCCATCATCTGGACAGTGTTCGTTGTACCCATTAGGAAGCTTTTTGCCCATCCCCTCTCCATCCTCCTCCCCCTGGTCGATTTCCACTGAGTTTTATTTCCCTCTGTGCACATGTGTGCTCATCGGTTAGTTCCAATTTCATAGCAACTGCATGTGGTGATTATTTTTCCATTCTTTAGATACTTCACTTAGGATAATGGTCTGCAGTTCCATCCAAATTGTTTCAAAAGGCCTTAATTCATCCTTCCTCATGGCTGAGCAGTATTCCATAGTGTATATATACACCACATTTTGTTAATCCACTCATGAATTGATGGGAACTTTTTTTTACTCTGAGACTCACACTGTCTATTCCATCCAGTTTAAAAAACAGACCCTGATTTTACACAGCTGGGGAACTGGACAGTGAAACAGTAAAATTACCTGACTGGTGCTTGGCTGTCTGTATCAGTCAGGGCTCTCCAGAGAAGCAGAACCAACAGGGCATGTGTGGGGTGGGGAAGGAAGGGTGGGGAGAGAGAGAGAGAGAGAAGGAATTAGCTCTCATGATTATGGAGGCTAGCAAGTCCAAAACCTGCAGGACAGGGTCCCAGCAGGCTAGAGCCCCAGGGAAGAGTTGCGGTTCAAGTCCAAAGGCAGTCTTCTGGCAGAAATCCCCCTTCTTTGGTCTTTTTCTATTAAGCGGGGGAGGTCAGTCTTTTTTCTATTAAGACCTTCAACTGATTGGATAAGGCCCACTCACACTATGGAAAATGATATGTTTTACTGAAAGTCTACTGATTTGAATGTTAATCTCATCTAAAAAAAATTTCATGGAACTATCTAGAGTAATGTTTGATCAAGTATCTCGAGACTGTGGTTCAGCCAAATTGACACATAAAATTAACCATCACACCATCATTCTGACAAAATGTGCTCCCTGTGGCAAGGTCTGTGCTGGACACAGATGAGCCTGAGGACAGCACCAGCCAGGGCAGAGAGGGGCAGTGATGACCAGATGCTAATGAGCTCCCAGGCAGCAGCCATGGAAGTGATGGGGGCCATTTCCTTCCAGGGACACCAGACCAGAGCTAGTGTGTGTGAATCGCCTGCCATCCTGGGTTGGGGGTGTGGGGGGCTGAGTGTCAGCAGCTGTCACAAGGCCCCAGTGGCTGCCTGTGCCGCTGGTTTCTGGACAACACTTGGAGTAGCAGGGTGGAGGGGTTCCGGTCCTAGATTCCTGCGTTCAATCCCACCTCTATCCCTCACTTGCCATGTAAGCATGAGAAAGGGAGGTACTTAACCTTTCTGAATCTCAGTATCCTCATCAATAATAATAATAATAATAATAGCATTGACTTCAACAGCTCATTGCGAGATTAAAAGAGAATGTGAACATGACTATGCAGCATAGAGTTCGAACCCAATAAAAGCTCTTAGCTACCACCATTATTATGGGCACCAGATTTTTAAAGAGTACATGTCAGGTAGGATATAAATAAATCTTATGTCCACCCATCAGCATGGTAAAAGGACCTTGACACACAGCCACGGGAAGAAGAGCTGATACAGTTAAAACCATCCTCCCTAGAGAAGAACAGGTGTTGGAAGGAGGTGGGAGGGGAGTGGAAGCCCAGAAGAGAGGATTAAATCTCCTGAATGCACTTGAAATGGAGTGTCCGTGGAAATAAAGTGAGAACTATCCTACAAGGCTCCATAAGGTTAAACAAGGACCAAGGTATGGAGCTTCCTGGGAAGTCAAAACGGGAGAGATAACAAAACTTGGGATGCACCAAAGGCCACCGGAAGTGAAGTGGGCTGTGTGGCCGGGGCTGTCCATCCACCACCAGAGGCATGCACAGACTGTGCCTCTGCCAGAGAGCCCAGAGGCTGGTGGCACACATTCGTGAGCTAACCGCCCAAACCCTCCAGGCCCTTCCAGAACTCAGAGCTGCCGAGCTAGGGCTCTCACTGCGCATGGTCCTTGGCACGCCGAGTCCTGGCACTCCAGCCCTGCTGTCCAAGGGCCGCTCCTGGGGGACACTTGGCACATTCCAAGCTTAGTCACGACGCATCAGACAATTCATTCAGATTCCTCCAATTCCATTACCAGGCCCTTTGGGACCCAGATGGGAAAAAAAATTAGTACATTTGCTGGCCAGGGAAGTAGCAGCGTCCAAACATCCTGCCCCTCGTGAAAACACTGGCTCGTTACCCCCCCAGCCCCCTAGACAAGGGCCACCACATTTCCAGGCTGCTCAGACAGCCACACTGCTGGATCTTAGGTTGAACACTTTGCATACAGTTGATACAGCTCCCATGGTACTCTCGGACCCAGCCCCTACCCTGGAACCCTCTGGACTGCACCACAGTCTAGCAGCCAAAGGGTGAACACACAGCACAGCAGGGCCCGGGTTTGCCCAGCACCCAGCCACCAGCTGTGGACTATTTGAGACATCACCCTCTACCTCTGCACCTGCCCCGGAGACCCACCGGCCAGCTGCCCCTGCCCCAGCACACAGCTGAGAAACATCCAGAGCCTGTCCAAAGTAGGGCTGCCAGACAAAACTAGGCTAGCAAAGGAAAACACAGGATGCCCAGTTAAATTCAAACTTCAGGTAGACAATGAGTAATTTTCCTAGTATATAATATCCCACACTATATTTGGGGCATACTCAAACTAAAAATAGTATTCATTGTTTACCTGAAATTCTGTATTTTATCTGCAACTCTACTCCCCTCGTTTCTCCCACCCAGCAGCACACTGCCCTCCAAAACATGTTCATAGCCCTCAGGAGCCTCTGAGATGGCACCAAAGCACACCCCGGGGCAGCCTGGGAGGTGTCAGACAGGCCCCCACCACCACCCTGCACCCCCAGTGCTATGGCTCAGGGCTGGAGATGGCCCAGTACATGGCCCTTTCCCTGTCAGGTCCTAACAACAACGAAGAGAGAGCAGTGAGGAGGAGAGACCAAAATAGGACCTTGACGGCTGAGAAAGCTGATCAGGGGAAGGTGGCTGAGAGCTGCAGGCACCTGGGTCTCCTAATGCCAAATCCCAACCCCAGTGCCAACCCCAACCTCAGTGCCAACCCCAACCCCAGGGCTAGACACATCACCTGCCCAGTGCCAGGAGCCCTGGCCCTCCTCGTCCCACTGTAGCGCAGGGCAGGGAGGGGCGGATAGGCAGCTCTCCCCCTAACTCAACCCATGACCAAGAACAATCGCGACACAGGTCCCTGCAGGCAAGAGGAAATGGTGAGGGTCCACCCGACTGGTTTGTTCTCCTAAGTCACTCATCGGCTCAGTCATTCACCCCGTTCCCCTCCCCACGTCCCACCTACTCCCCTGGGAGAAGAGAGGCGGGAATATGAAGCTAACGGCAAGGCTCCACGTGGAAGGATCCGCCAACCACGAGGCTAGATCCCGCCCTTCTCGGCAGGCCCCCATTGGTGACAGGCCACTCACAAGAGTGCCCCTCCATGGACCAGCCTGGGCCATGTAGTCAGTAGTCAAAAGGAGTCCTAGCCAACACACAGACTCACTTCCCAACCTCTCTGGGCCTCAGTTTCCTCGTCTGTGATATGGGGAGAAGAGCACTCACCCAGAGGGCTTGGTCGTGGATGTGCCTGCCGCACACCTGCTCGGCGCACACAGAGAGCTCAGCAGGGCTGTGGCTGTCACCATCCCTGGCTCTGTCCAGGAGGGGGAGTGGGGGTGACTAAGCAGGGAAGAGGCCCGGAGGGAGGAGAGAAGAGGGGTGGGAAGGGAGGGAAGCTGAGTTAGTGCGGGAGCCCGACGCAGAGTGCAGCTGGGGGGCGGGCAGTTGCGAGGAGGCAGAGATGTATCAGATGAAGAGCGGCCAGGCTGGCTCCAGGTGAGCTTGGGGTGGAAGCAATGCTGTCCGGGGTGCGTGGGGCTGGAGCACTCCGTCCCCATCACACCCACAGAACCAGATGCTCTCAGGGTTCTGACAAGCGTGGGGTGCTGGTGCTAAGACCAGCTCCCGGGCAAGTGCAGAGACTGGCACAGCTGGTTGGGAAGTGGGAACCCCCACCAGGCAGGCTGTGACTCAAGGAGTGGCTCCAGGCCCAGCCAGAGCAGGGATGATCCTGGGGACTCGAAGAGAAGCCACAATAGACCAATAGGCAGAGACAAGGAGGGAGGGAAAAGGGCAGCTGGTTGTTACGTGGATACCCCGTGTTCACACTGGATTGCAGGCTCAGGCATTCATGCACTTGCTCACCAACATTTACATGAATTCATTCATTCTTTGTCATCTGCTCTGGGCACTGGGCTAAGCTCTGGGGATATAGGACTGGACAGGGCAGCATGGCCCCGCCTCTGTGGAAGGAAGAGATGTATCAGATCATCTTCCTATCCACGAAGGAACTGCGCGCTGTGGGAAGCTCTCCAGGAAATACAAGGGCAGAGACAGGGAAGTGCAAGGAGTCCAGCTTTCGCTGGTGGCCAGGGGCCTCGCCAAAGAGGTGAAACGTGCGCTGGGACCCAGTGGGCCTGAAAGAGCCAGCTCTGGGAAGGGCTGTTCAGGCAGAAGGTACAGCAAGTGCAAAGGCCCTGACGTGGGGACGGGCAGGAGCATTCGGGCAGCAAGACCTGTGTCCTGCCCAGCCCTCTGAGAAGCTGCAGTGCCTCTCTCCCAAGTCTAC